TGTATGCTATCTGTGTCTGTTTGCATCTGTCAGTATTTTATTGTATTTTTCTACTTTCTACCCTTTTTTCCCTCATTCTGCTGCACACATGCTTCTTCCTACTTCCTGTGTCGTTATCTATGGTGTACTTTCATTTCCCAGGTTCTCTCTTCCCTTCTCTTTAAATTTTACCCTTTTCAAAGCCAGCGTTACAGCATGTGGATGTCATGCAGTCTTCTCTCCCTGGCCTGTCTTGTGTCCCCAGGTGTTTCATCTGGGTTGCTGCTTTCCCAGACGTCTCTCAGGAAAAGGACACTTCTGTCTCCCCAGAGTCCTCTTTGTTGATTGACTGGTGGTGGGGGCAGTGAACATTTATTGAGTACTTACCATGGGCCAGGCTTTGCGTGTATCAACTCACCTAACCCTCATGACAGCTTTAAAAGGTAGATTCTGTTCTTATTTCACTTAGGAAACTGATACACTCAGAGGCTGAGTGAGAGCAGGCATATGAGTCCACAGCCCAGATAGGCAGGCCCAGAGCATAGTGTTTTTAACTGCACTGGACTGCCTGGTGTATTCAAGAGGAGTTGTTTAAGGAGTGTATGATTCTTCTAACAACATTTATTTAGATTTAGAATGTGTATTAACGTTGTGATACAGAATTGGCAGTTCATTACACTGTTATTAACAACACATTAATCCCTTGTTAAATCTTTTCACAAGCTTATTGAATATCATTAATTCATTTTTATAGAGCTGATAAATTTTAAGACTATTCTAAAAAATTACTGATATAACTAGTATTAAGTTACTTGCCCCCAAAATCATAGTTACTAGGGAAACAGAGGATGCTTCTGGTTAAGCTTCGGTACCACCAGGTCCTCACTTATGATCAGGTTTATGTTCCCAGGTTCATTTTAAGTTGGCTGTCTGGAACTTCGTTTCAATGGGAGAATATATGATATTAAACTTGGTGTTAGGATCTTAGGCCAGGCACAGTGAAACATTTGATTTACACATACAGTGGTATTCTAATATTGGGCCCGTAAGAATGGAAAGGGGTATTTGTTCACTGGCTGTCTCTGGCTCTACGTGGAACATGGTGTAACGATGCTCTTATGTTAACGTTAGTTCTTACCTGGACATCAGGTGCACATCAGCCTTCTGTAGCAGTAGGCACAGGAGCTTCCTCCCCTCACCCCTTCCTGTCCCTACCCCTCTTGCTTTCAGCCTTACTGGAGAACTTCTTCGGCTATAAACCACATACTGAGCAGGTGTACTCCCTGCGAGCCTGTTGGCTGAGATCAAAGATAGGGGCTTCTGAGATTAGGCAGTTGTGTAGGTACAGGTTTTCCAGTCCTGCCCTTTCTGTTTTCTGGTAATCCCAAATCACACCTGCTTGCTGCTTTTGGCACTGCTCTGCTCGGTCTTACTGTGTGTGAGTGTGGTGTGTGAAATGTAACTCAATACAGAAACAGTTACTAAAATGTTTAGTTTCTCCAGTAGCTGGTAAAGCAGACAGCCCTGTTACCGGCTCCAGGAGAAGTGGAGCCTCCTCACAACTCAGCAGCAGCTCCCAGTGTGCTTCTTCCCAGCATGGCTCCTTCCTGCCCTGTGCTAGGGGTCACCACTTTTCCCTTGTGGTGATTTCCTCTTATGGAAAGAATGTATTGCTTTTCCATATAATTTTATCATCTGATAATATATCCCCAAACAAAGTTTACCTCCTTTTACACTTTATATAAATGAAATCACAGGGATTGTGTTCATTTGGATCTTCTTTCACTTCGTGTACTTTTTTGTTGTTGAGACGAAGACTTGCCCAGGCTAGAGTTCAGTGGCGCAAGCTTGGCTCACTGCAACTTCCAGGTCCTGGTTCAAGTGGATCTTCTGCCTTAGCATCTTGAGTAGCTGGAATCACAGGCACCTGCCACTGTGCCCAGCTAATTTTTGTATTTTTGGTAGAGATGGGGTTTCACCATGTTCGCCAGGCTGGTCTTGAACTCCAGTCCTCATGATCCACCCACCTTGGCCTCCCAAAGTGCTTGGGATTACAGGCATGAGCCACCATGCCTGGACTTTTTGCTCAGTGTATTTTAAGATTCATCCATGTTACCACATATAGATGCCACCTCAGATTCATTTTTGTTGCTGTGTGGTATTCCATCATATTTGTATGCTAGGGCTGCCATAACAAATACCAAAGACTGGGTGGCTTAAACAACAGAATTTAATTTGTTCACAGTACTGGAAGCTAGAAGTACAAGATCAAGGTGTAGGCAGGGTGATCGCATTCTGGGGCCTCTCTTCTTGGCTTGTAGGTGGCTATCTTGTCCCGGCGCCTTCACGTGGTCTTTCCCTTAGCGGTGTTTATGTCCTAATCTCTCCTTCTTACAAGGACACCAGTCATGCTGGATTAGAGTCCATAAGGCCTTATTTTGTCTTAATTACCTCTCCTGTCTCCAAATACAGTCATGTTCTTAAGTACTGGGGGTTAGGAGCTGCATAAAAATTTTGAGAGAAGTGGTTCAACCCATAACACCTATTATGTGATTATATTGAAATGTATTCATCATGTTATTTAGTGGACATTTTTATTTCTTGTTTTAGGCTGTGATGAACTGTGCCACTGTGAACATTTTCATACCTGTGTAATAGTAAGAGTGCCAGAATGGAGCATTCCATCCTAGGAGTGAATTGCTAGGTTTTGCTGCAATATTAATAGATGAATTCAGTGTGTTTTCCAAAGTGCTTGTGTTGCAAGATCCTTGGTGGCACCATTACTGGAGTTTTGCTTGAGCCCAGTGTTCACCCACTTGGCCTGGCAGGCTGTGCTCAGCTGGAGCTATTGGCCCTGATGCTACGCGTGCCAAGGGTGAGCCAGGCACAGAGTGGTGAGTGGTGCATGAGCGAGCGAGCACCGAGGTCTAGCCACTGTGCACAGCCAGGCATGCTGGCCGTTGACTAGTCTTTTTCTTGCCGATTTTTAGGAATTCCTTAAATATTCTTAAGTCTTTGGTTGCTTATATATGTTGCAAATATCTCTCAAACTCTGTAACTTACCTGTTTTCACTATCTTTTGATGAATAGAAGTTTCTTATTTTAATGTGGTCAGTTTAGCCATCTTTTCCTAGTTTAGTTGATTTTTTGAATATATGTCTTGAGAATACTTCCCTGAGGTCATTCAGATATTCTATGTTATCTAATAAAATACTTACAACTTTGCATTTAGATGTAATATATCTGGCACTGATTTTCGTGTACAGTATGAGGTAGGACCTGATTTCATTTTTTTCCCTGTGAATAGTCAGCTGTTCTTACATCATTAATTGAAAAGCATTCCTTCCCCTCAAAACCTGAACCACCTCTGTCATAAATTCACTGTCTGTAGTGTATGCTTTTGTCTGCTGCTAGGCACTGCATTCTGTACTATTGATCTATTTGTCTCTTTCCACAAGAGTTGCACACTGCTTTGAGTCCTGTACCTTTGTAATAAGTCTTGAAATCTGATAGAGCAAGTCTTTCCACTTTGCTGATGCTCTTCCAGAGCATCTTGGCTGTTCTTGGTACCATGATACCATGAACATTTGGTATCTGCCCATTAATTTCTACAGATAGACCTTTTAGGAGGATCTTTATTGGAATGCTTTGGCTCTGTAAGATCAGTTGGGGGAGGATTGTCAATTAGATGAAAGACAAAACAAAATGAACCAAAAAGTAAACATGGGAAACTGTTTTAGATGAAAGAAGATGAATGAGACATGGTTACTGAATGCAATGTGTTGGTTTGTAAAAGTTACAAAGGCCTGGGACAAATGGGGAAACTTTGCTGTGAATTGTGTATTAGACACTAATGTACCAGTATTAAATCTCCTGATAAGGGTTAGAAAGTGAATTGTGTATTAGACACTAATGTACCAGTATTAAATCTCCTGATAAGGGTTAGAAATGTTATGTCTACCTTTTTTCTTGGAGATACATGCTGAGGAATTTAAGGTGAAGTGTTGTGATGCCTACAGCTGGTGCTCAGTTCAAAAAGTTGGGGGAGGAGATGAGGAGGCAGCTAGAGTGATGGCCTAATGTTAGCAATTCACGAAATGTTAGCAGTGAAAGGTAAATGGGTATTCATTGATTTTTCTTTTCCTGTAGATTTAGCATTTTTCAAAATAAAAGTAGAAGAAAATTAAATTTCATTTTGTATCTCAACAAATAGAGCGCCAGATTAACTAGTAATGCATTATCTTAGTGCGCTGTGCTACGCAGATTTGCCACTAAAAGCACTAGTGAAATGACAAACGTGATTGGTTATTTTAAAAATTCTGTAGTATGTTTGAACTTATTCAGTTCACGTTTAAATCATACTGGAACACCACACTAAGCAGATTTGCCACTAAAAGCACTAGTGAAATGGCAAACGGGATTGGTTATTTTAAAAATTCTGTAGTATGTTTGAACTTACTCAGTTCACATTTAAATCATACTGGAACACCAAATGTCTGTGGGCTGGTGCTCCAAGTAAAAAAATACATTAATGAGCTTTTTGTGCCAATTACTGATTTTCAGGAAATGTTCTTTAAATTGCTAATTAAGAGTTCTGGAGATCCATGTCATACTAACAGGTGAGCAAAGTAATTCATAGGAGTTACACTTGATACGGTCTAATTTTGTAACACCAGGCTAAGTATTTTTTATGAGAAGCATTTCTGGTGCTTGAAAACTGATATTTATATTTTTCTTGAAGGATCTCAGATTCTTTGTTCTCATAGTAGGTAACCTCACAGTCTATAAAGAAAACCCAGATAGGTTTTTTTGGTCAACTTTTAGTTACTGCAACAGAGGCACGTAGGAAGTTAAATGATTCCATAAGGCATGCAGTGAATTGGTAATAATACTAATGGACACACAGTTATTGATTCTTCTTTGCATTGGCCTCATTTTTTCCACCTGTTGCTTATGTCATTTCTTAGTAAAATTATTTGTAAAGTAAAACATCTAACACCACCACCAAAATCTTGTAACAGCAAAAGGAAGAGCTGAGCTTCTGAAGATCAACCTTCGAGAGGTCGAATTAGATCCTGATATTCAACTGGAAGATATAGCCGAGAAGATTGAGGGCTATTCTGGTGCTGACATCACTAATGTTTGCAGGTATTTTTTTAATGATCTATGATTTTAGACATTAGTTATAAACTTGGCAGGAGGACCGCTCTTCAAGTCAGCGTAGTGTAGTTAGACAAGAAAGCAGCTACCCATATTTTTGAAATGGTTTTCCATTTGTCCTTTTTTCCCATATAACTTTATTCCTCATTTTTGATGTTTTGATTTTTAAGAAATTGTGTCTAACTTGGTAATAATGACTTTGACAACCTAAGATTACTTTATGGTGGAGCCTTTCTGCATCAACATAAAGTAATGTTTAGTTTCAGCTGGCATAATTTAAACACATGCAGATGAGCAAAAATGATCAGTGTAAGCTGGGAAGATACACACACATTAAAAAATTTTTCAGTTTAGCAACATCATAATTTTTAGACAGTTCCTGTCACTCTGTGCATTTTTTTCTTATTTTTCTAACTGTACTTAAATTGACTTTAGTAGCCTTTCTTTAAAGCTGTAGCATGTTTTTCTCACCTTTTCTGCTCGCGTTTTTCCCGTGTACATCTAAGTTTAATGGCATACATACAATAAGCTCACAATAGTTCCTACTGCTACGATAGTAAAATGTTTAAGAACTTAAAATTTTTGTTGGCTTGGCCCTCCTAATAGCTTTTTTGTGATTATGAATTATCCTTTTCTTCCAGCCCTTCATATTTATTTATAGTTGGTCAAAGAGAGCTGCAGACGGGATCAGGAGAAGCCAGAGTTTATGCCTTCAGTTGCCTACAAATACTCCATGTAGAGAATTCCATGTCCACTATATGTGGGTATTCATGTTTCAGAGGGAGTGATTCTTGGCTTTATTCCTCTATTTAGGGTGTAGACAAACTGGTCTGTGGTTTGAATTATCTTAACATCAGCCATATGTTCACTTCTAAGTGTACAATTCAATATTTCAAATTTCGACTCCAGTTTCCTAAACTTCTTGGCTGACTTTGAGGAGCAAGCGGGGCAAGGAAAATTCAGTACTATTTGAGCTTAACCTAGACTTTTAGAGTTCATTAACTATGTACGTTTTATGTTTTTGGTTATTTGCATCCTGTTTTAACTTCTTCTGAACTCCCAGGATTTTTCTTAAGTGGAAAATTATAAGCAGCATCATAAAAACATATAAAATAATCTTTTGATTGTTTTTTCATAACTTTGTTACAGTTGAAAGTGTTTAAAACCTTTGCAGAAATCACTGTTAACTGATTTTGGTATATTTTTAGGGATGCCTCTTTAATGGCAATGAGACGGCGTATCAATGGCTTAAGTCCAGAAGAGATCCGTGCACTTTCTAAAGAGGAGCTTCAGATGCCTGTTACCAAGGGAGACTTTGAATTGGCCCTTAAGAAAATTGCCAAGTCTGTCTCTGCTGCAGACTTGGAGAAGTATGAAAAATGGATGGTTGAATTTGGATCTGCTTGAATTTTTGTCAGCTCTTTAATTTCCGGTATTTTTGTTTATGGAATGTTAAGAAATTCCTTCAATTTTTAAAAAACAGGTTTGGAATTTTTTTCAGTTGAATGGTGTTCACTTAAAGGAAAAAAGTCTAAAACTGTAAGAATATTAAATGTAGTTGAGAAATAAGAACATTTCATGGCGAGAGTTTGCTGGTCGCCCTCAGCTTTGTGCTGGTATTCCACATGTTCCTGCATTAATATTGCACACCCAAACCAATCTATCAGGGAGGCTGAAGAAAGGGAGCCGCTATTTTAAGAACTTGTTTACAGAAGATTTAAAAAGACCCCTATTTTTCATTTGCATTTGTCATTTTTTTTTTGCCAGTTCTTTGTTTTGTCAACATGAGGGTCATATCTATATATGTTGACTTTAACATCAAAATTGGATTTGTGTCAAATTCATTATTTATTGTTAAGAGAAGAATAAGAACATATTTTGGAGGAAATAATGAATTTACTAATTAAAACTTTGAGAATTTATTACTTACTGTTGGGGTCTATCCTGTGGTTAGAATTTTTGTGTCCCCTCCCCCTGTCATTTCTTCTATTAGCTGTTTAAGAACGTCTTGAGCTTTATTCAGGAATATTCTCACGCTCTGTGGTATTTGAATCATTTTGCCAGGTTGTTTCTCTGTCTTTAGTATTTTTTGATGGTGCTTCTTAATATTGGAAAGGTGGGAAGAATATATTGCATGAGGTATAATTCTTCATTCTAGACTTCTTCGTTTATTTTCACTTCTTTTTTTTTTTGAGACAGAGTCTTGCTCTGTCACCCAGGCTGTAGTGCAGTGGCATGATCTCAGCTCACTGCAACCTCCGCCTCCTAGATTCAAGCAGTTCTCCTGTCTCAGTCTCCTGAGTAACTGGGACTATAGGTGCACCACCACACCTGGCTATATTTTCACTTTTCTTTCAAAATATTCAAACAGATATATGGCCATTATTTTTCTCAGCTCCAACATTGTTTGCTTTTTGTTGAATTTGATTTTAGTATTTGAGATAAATACTGTGGCATTCTAAACAAGTCCACTCTCTGTGGCTAACACAAAACAAATACAG